TTGTTGCTAAATGGTTGGTAGAACATTGGTAACCAATATGGTGTACCAACCTTGGTAACCGGGTTACATTTACCATATTAGTATGCCATTTTTTGGGAATCCAACATTGGAACATCAACTTTGATATACCAATATGGTGTTTTTCTGTGATATTATAGGTGTCCTATGTAAAAATACCAACATTGGTACAGTGGCAAATTTAACTATGATATCATTGTAATTTGAATGGTATTTTATCTTGGAGGAAACCAATATCGGCATATTAAATTTGGTTTACCAAGGTGTCCTAGGTGGCTTTTCATTGTACATTTAGTGGTGTTCTAGTAAGAAATACCAACATTGGTTTAGTGGCACAATTTACCACACTGGATTTTCATAGTAGTTTGAACGCTATCCTGGAGGAAACCAATATTGGCAGGTAAAATATCGTTTACCAAGGTGTCCTAGATGGCTTTTCATGGTAGGTTAAGTGGTATTCTAGTAAATACCATTATTGCTGTAATAGCAAATAGTTAACCAAATTGGATTTTCAGTGCAGTCTACCTGTGATGATTTATATAGTCTGATGGGTATGAAACATCAAAATGCTGGCGTGGCTAGCACAATGATAGAGATTTTAAAACAAAATCAAATGCTCTAAGATTCAACCTGACTTTATTGATCAAGAAACCAGAAGCTATTAGCCATAGCTCAAGGAGCAAAACTGACTTAGGAAAATCTCAATCATCCTCATCCGATTCTTCAGAGCTAATACCACATCTGTAGTTACATTGCTGGCCATATCTGTAGCTACCACATCGCTGGCTGGTTCTCCTACTGTCATTTCTTCCCTTCTCAAACATTCAACATTTGCTTCATCCGTGACACTTGCGATCCATTTTTCTAAAAGGGCCTTAGCCACTCTGTTTGCTATATCATATTTACCCAAGCCCTGTGCCTTAAGTTTTGATGTTTTTCTAAGGAGCAAACATCGCGTTTGTAAGCTAAATTCCTAAACCTTGAGGCTTTCAAAAAACGGTTAGTAACGATTGGCAGCTGTCAGGTGTCATTTCTGTGACATCAAAAGATGGTTCATCCCATTTGGAATCCAGTCGTCTATGCAGCAATCTGCAGTGAAATGATTGGAACCGTGAATTAAGATTAGACTTCTATAATTTGCCTCATATTATTTTAATGAAATTATGGCAAGAATCTATAAACAATAAGCCTTTCTCTAAAATTAGGGCTGGTCAGAATGTAGAAGGGGGAACAATACGACTTAACCAAAATATGACTTTCAGTGACTTGTTTGATGTAGTCTTGTAGGTTGAACTGAATTCAAAGGGAAGTTTGAAGTAGATTTTTATGTAATTGATAATATGTTTATGGATAACTCTTATACTTACTTCCACGTACCACTGAATTCTGTTTTAGAAGTACTAAATTATCAATTACTATGTACTAATACGAAAGTGGAATATTTAGAATCATGTTTGCATTCTATATAATGATGTATAATGTACTATTTCTCATTTTTAGGAACTTTTTTTTAATTATCAGGGCCGGCTTGTTCAAAGCTGGGTTAAGATAACCCAGGGTTAGTGCGAAATTTGAATTAATAATAATAATAATAATAATAATAATAATAATAATAATAATAATACAAGAATTTATATTGCGCCATTTCCGTGAGCTCAATGGCGCTTAACAATAATCGTAATTCTAAAAATAAAAAACATTTGAGTTATTAAAGAAAATTTATAACAGTTGTAGAAATTAATTTCTAAAAAATAAGATACATTCGACTTGCTAAGATTACCTGAGGAAAATATATGCAATAAAAAGAAAAATGGGTAGTCAACTAAGTAATAAAAGCCGCTCTAAAAAGAAGTGTTTTAATCTTATTCTTAAAAACATCAAGGTTTTGGATTGATCTTATGTCATCGGTTAGGGAGGTCCAGAGCCTGGGCACAGTAACTGAGATCTGCTATATATTTTGGTGCCATGCCATTCAGTGAAGTTCTATTTTGTATGTAATTCATTGTCTACTTGGAGCCAGAGTAGTCTACGAAGAACTGGTGTTATATGTTCTGAGCTTTGAGCTCTAGTCACCAGTCGAGCTACGCAGTTTTGTACATACTGTAGCCTATCAATAACCGATTGGGGTAAGCCATATAGAGGAGCTTTACAGAAATTCAACTTAGATGAAATAAATGCTTGAACAAGTGTCTCAGCATTATCCTTAGAGAGACAGTTTCTTATCTTTGCAATATTTCGTAAATGATAGAACGCCGTTTTGCAGGTGGTCGTAACATGTTTCTCTAAGTTGACTTGGGAATAAAAAATTACAGCTATATTTCTAGCATTGTTGGAGACTTCAGTGTATTCACCAGTCACATAGATACCCTTAATAGGTGGGTTGACTTTGTGCTTTGGTCCAATCACTAGGAGCTCAGTTTTATCCCTGTTCAGCTTTAACGTATTTGCAAGCATCCATGCATTAATATCATTTAAACAAGACTCAATTGCTTGCACTGAAGCTGCTTGATCATGAAGCTTGAATGAGCAGTAAAGCTGGGTGTCATCAGCGTAGAAATGACATGATAGGCCATGACTTCTGACAATGTCACCAAGGAGGGATGTATACAATACATACAACATAGGCCCCAGCACAGATCCTTGGGGCATGCCACACCGCAGGTCCCTGCTACACGATGTTGCCCCCTTTATGTTGACTACTCGTTTATGATTCTCAAGGAAGGTCTTAAACCAGTGCAGGGCTTTGCCATTAATACCCAAAGCTACAAAGTCTTTGTTCAAAAACAGTAAAATCACGAAAAAAGAAGTTTTTACAAAGAACTTGGATTAAGTACAGTTCACTGATCAGAATCACAGTCGTCACTTATTATGATTCTTCAATCTTCAATCTTGCCGATGCAAGCACCCAAAAACACTGCAAATGGCTCGTTAGGATTAAGTAATGGTCCGTGTAAGAGGTAGGCAGGCGAACGGCAAAAGTGATTAAAAGGTGCTAACTTTTAATCATTAATTTCAATTAAATCAAGCGTTCTGATTGGCCGAAATCCAAAAATCGCCAAAAAAACAGTCAGAAACGTGACAAAAACACCTTTTTTTAGCTTTATTTTCCCCATTCCCCTGTCCTATACCTCACGGCCAAGTTTCAGCATTGTTCTATGCGCCAATCAAAAGTTAGAGCGGAAAAACGTGAAACACACGCGCGACCTTGTTGTGACCCCATCTTAGTGTGACACTTGAGATGTTAGGAAACTTGTCTTTTACCCGAAGAAATCTCGTCAATTTCTTCGTGAAAAATCTGCATTTTTTCTTTATTGAATATTTATCTCAAATTTACTGTATTGTACCATCGGAGTGATCGTCAAAATGCTCTTAAACATGGTTTGCTGCCGTCCTCGACATGCCGAGTCGCCATGTGGAAATTTGGGCCCGGCGTAGTTGTTTTCGTTGTCAGGCTGGATCAGGAGGAGATCGGAATAATTATGGCACTAGAAATTGGAGTACAGCTGGGCATAAAAGGAGAAAGCGAAAGATTTGTTGTTTTTACAAGGATGAATTTATTTCTCGAAGAGATGTAGAACACTTGAGCTTGAGGTAAGCTGAATTCAATAGATTTTCGCACCTCCGCGCGCATTATGTGTTATTCATGTGTTTGCTCTTTTCGAAATTTCCATATTCCGTGTACCTTTACCCATCTCTCATTCGATTTTTTTTCTCTCTAGACTGTTTCATCAAGCGAAATGGAAGTTCGCCGTGGACCTTAAGTTAAAATGAGCGAATTGAAATTTGTGACACGTTTGCATTTTGTACCTTTGAGTTCTGAGACGGAGAATACCGAGACGGAAGCCGCTTAGGTATCATAAATAGCTGTCTTCTGGTGTTTGAGTTTCTCTTGGTACGGAAGATCTAGCGAGCATGACTGTAGCTTGCCTTTATTTTTTCCAAGGACGAGAGAGATTGTAAGAAGGATTTTTATAGAGTAATATCAAAACCTTGAAAACAGATAAACTGTAGGATAGCTTTTTCTGAAACCCAATTATCCGAACATGCAGGAATTTTTTCTATCTGGGCAACATCATCTTTTTTTTCCAAAAGCAGAACATTTAGATAACATTTAGATTTGATTTTGTGTACTTGTTGTTGTGCTGTATGGTGGCCGAATATGAACGCGCGACATTGGTGCGTTCGCCAGATTCGCCACGTGAGAGTGAGTTGCTGCTGTTTACGATCATGGTTTTGACATTTCTTTTGTGAGAGCCGACGTAAATGTTGGTCCCAACGTCGCTGATTGATGTAACACTGTGCTCATCTTCGTGTAATTTCATATCAGTTTAACTTCCTCGGGTTTGGCGCATAGAAATCTTTTAAATTTTAGATATGTTATCTTTTTCAACATAACAAAGCAATAGACGAAATAAAAAGTTGTTCGAATGAGTCTTAAGCTATCTTAATTCAACTTTAAAATTCAAATTTCGCGCTTTTTGCTGTATTGACCAATCAGAGCATTCAGATTTAATTTGATTAGAGAAATTAGCGCGTGAAAAATAACTGACGCTATTGCCGCGGGCTATTGTTTTTCTGCCTGCTTCTTAGCTGGACCATTACTTAACTGCCGGTTGGGAAAGATTCACTGGATGAGCGCTGCTTTCTTGAACAAGGCTGCTTGTTGTAGATGATTGCATGCTCTGTTCTCCGGAGCGACTCAAGATGTAGGACATTTTCCGCTAATGCTCAATTGAGATTTTTAGGACCACTTGGCTGAGCCATGTAGTTAACTGGAACTTCAGCATCCATTAGTCGAGAAATAGATGTTTTGCGAACGGTGTGGTTGGTGATATTTCCCTGCAAGCCGCACCTCGAGCTGCTGTTTTCATTAATTTTCCGATCTCGTTTTTGCCAAGTGGTGCTCTCATGTACCAAATGGTGTTGTTTGGTTTTCTTCAGTGGTTAATAGCCAAGTAAAAGGCACTGTCAGCACTGTTCATCTATGCAGGACGGCGACTTTGGAATTTTTTGTAGTACACTACTGGATAATGTTCGTTTGTTGCCTGGGCGGTGGGATTAAATGCTCGTCTGTCACCATTGCCATGGCGCGTCTTAGATCCTCTTTCTGAAATCCAAATGAGAAATTCCTTGCCGGTTTCAGTGTCATTCTCAACAACAATGTCTCTCCATTTCAGCTTTCTGCTTTCATCTCTTACACGGAAACCAGTGCTAATAACCACCAAACTGTGCGCTGTAGAGCTTCAGGGTTTTTATCGCCAAATTCACTGGAACGAAACACTAAATCTTCTTCAGCATCGGTAAGTTCTCTCACAGCTTGGGGGTGATTACCTTTCCCTTGTTCTACAACCAGCTGTTTCTTTTTAGAAAGCAGAACCTCCCTGGCCCGGGTTGCTCGAAGCATGGTTAGTGCTAACCAGCGTTAAATACCATGGAAACCTATACATTTTGATACCTCTTAACCAACAGTTAGCGCTAACCAGGCTTCGAGCAACCGGCCCCTGGATTTCTGGAACTCTTGGTCTTTGAGAATGTTTATGTTGGAGTTCGTATCGTTTAAGTAACACTGTAGACTTCTTTGAAAACAACTGAGAGTTGCTGGCTCGTAAGCGCTGTCATCTTTCTTCTTTATCTCCATCATAAAACGGCGAATCAAGATGTTTAGCCCTTCAGCAGGTATGTCTTCAATTTCTCTTTCTTCACCTTTGTTACGGAAAAACCTCCTCCAAACGTTCAAGTCATACTCGATTTTCTAAATTCTGTTTTCAGCTCGTTGGGCCAAAATATAATTTTGCACATTTTCCAGCCTAAAAACATTGTCATTTTCCCGGTTTTCTTCGTTAGTTATCGCAGCAATGTTCTCTTTCTCGAGTTTAGCCATGCATTCCCATGTACTGCCATGTATTACCATGTATTACCATGTATTGACATGTATACCCATGTATTGCCATGTATAGCGATATATTACCATGTACTGCCATGTATAGCCATGGACTGCCATGTATAACCATGTACTGCCGTGTATAGCCATGTATTGCCATATATTACTATGTTTTAACATGTATTACTACGTACTGGCATGTATTCCCATCTATTACCATGTACTGCGATGTATAGCCATGTACTGCGATCTATATCCATTCATTGTCATGTATTACTATGTATTACCATGTATTACCATGTTTTACCATGTATTGCCACGTATTGCTATGTATTACCATGTATTGCGATGTATAGCCATGTACTGCCATCTATAGCCATGTACTACCATGTATAGCCATGTATTACCATGTATTTCCATGTATAGCCATGTACTGCCTTGAATAGCCATGTATTGGCATGTATTACTATGTATTACCATGTATTATCATGTATTGGCATGTATTGCCATGTACTGCCTTGTATTACCATGTATAGCCATGTATTACTATCTATTACCATGTACTGCCATGTATAGCCATGTATTACTATGTATTACCATGTATTGGCATGTATTGCCATGTATTACCATGTACTGCCATGTATAGCTATGTATAGCCATGTACTGCGATGTATAGCCATGTATTGCCACGTATTACTATGTATTACCATGTACTGTGATGTATAGCCATGTACTGCCATGTATTGCCATGTACTGCCATGTATTACCATGTATAGCCATGTATTACTATCTATTACCATGTACTGCCATGTATAGCCATGTATTACTATGTTTTACCATGTATTGGAATGTATTGCCATGTATGACCATGTACTGCCATGTATAGCTATGTATAGCCATGTATTGCCACGTACTACTATGTATTACCATGTACTGTGATGTATAGCCATGTACTGCCACGTTTTGGCATGTCGAGCCATCTATTACTATGTATTACCTTCTATAGCCATATATAGCCATGTATTGCCATGTATTACCATGTATTGCCATGTATAGCCATGTATTAGTATGTATTACCATGTATTGCCATATATAGCCATGTATTGTCATATATTACCATGTATTGCCATGCATTACCATATACTGTCATGTATAGTCATGTATTACCATGTGTAGCCATATATTACCATGTATTGCCATGCATTACCATGTACTGCCATGTATAGCCATGTACTGCCATGTATTACCATGTATAGCCATGCATTACCATGAATTACCATGTACTGCCATGTATTACCATGTATAGCCATGTATTACTATCAATTACCATGTACTGCCATGTATAGCCATGTAATACTATGTATTACCATGCATTAGCATGTATTGCCATGTATAACCATGTACTGCCATGTATAGCTATGTATAGCCGTGTACTGCGATGTATAGCCATGTATTGTCACGTATTACTATGTATTACCATGGATTGCCATGTATTACCATGTACTGTGATGTATAGCTATGTACTGCCATGTATAGCCATGTATTGCCATGTATTAGTATGTATTTCCATGTATTGCCATGTTTAGCCATGTATTGTCATATATTACAATGTATTGCCATGCATTACCATGTGCTGCCATGTATTGCCATGTGTAGCCATATATTACCATGTATTACCATGCATTACCATGTACTGCCATGTTTAACCATGTATAGCCATGTACTCCCATGTATTACCATTTATAGCCATGTATTTCTATCTATTACCATGTACTGCCATGTAAAGCCATGTATTACCATGTATTACCATGTATTGGCATGTATTGCCATGTATTACCATGTACTGCCAGGTATAGCTATGTATAGCGATGTACTGCGATATATAGCCATGTATTGCTACGTATTACTATGTATTACCATGGATTGCCATGTATAGCCATTTACTGCCACGTTTTGGCATGTATAGCGATGTATTACTATGTATTACCCTCGATAGCCATATATAGCCATATATAGCCAAGTATTGCCATGTATTACCATGTATTACCATGTTTTGCTATGTATAGCCATGTATTGCCATGTAAAGCTATCTATTACCATTTATTGCCATGAATTACCATGTACTGCCTTCTATAGCCATGTATAGCCATGTACTGCCATGTATAGCCATGGATTACCATGTATTGCCATGTATTACCATGTATAGCCATGTACGGCCTTGGATAGCCATGTATTGGCATGTATTACTATCTAGTACCATGTATTATCATGTACTGTGATATATAGCCATGTACTGCCACGTTTTGCCATGTATAGCCATGTATTACTATGTATTACCATGGATTGCCATGTATATCCATGTATTACTATGTATTATCCTCTGTAGCCATGCATTTCCATGTATTGCCATTTATTACCATGTATTGCCATGTATAGCCATGTACTGCCATCTGTAGCCATGTATAGCCATGTACTACCATGTATAGCCATGTATTACCATGTATTACCATGTATTTCCATGTATAGCCATGTACTGCTTGGATAGCCATGTATTGGCATGTATTACTATGTATTACCATGTATTATCATGTATTGGCATGTATTGCTATGTATTGGCATGTATTACCATGTATAGCCATGTGTTGCCATGTTTTGCCATGTATACGCATGTATTACCATGTAATTCCACGTCTTGCCATGTATTACCATATATTGCCATGTATTACCATGTATCGCCATGGATCACCATGTATTTCTATTTATTGCCCTGTGTAGCCATGTATTACCATGTATGTCTTAAGTTTGAATGTGAAAAATCTTTTATCGTCTGGGAAACTGACTGTTACACATTTCAGGGGTAGCCCAAGGAAAGGCTCTTTTTTAGAATGAAAAGATATTTTCCTGAGGAGAGCAACTTTATTTGATCAAGGCCCCTTTCCTGTATGATTTAAGGTCATATCAGTTGGTGTTACAAGAAGATATTTTCTCGAAGAGTGTGACGTTCTTTCAGGATTGTAAACGGATACTAGTTGACAAAGATATTCAAGTGCCATTCGTCACTTTAGATAATACGCGCTGTTAAAAGTCAGTTAAGAACTTGCTGCCCCTGAAGAGCAGGGATTTCGCCCATAAGGCGAAACTCTGAGGAGGCACTCAATTCACTCGCGCGTTTATTATAACAAGTACTTACAGTTGTTATTTATAGTCAGTATACCAGGAAAAAATCTCGATTTGCTTAATAGACAGGGGCCGCAAGGAATAGCTGGTTGACGTTTTCTATTGTTCGTGCCTGTAACTAAGAGATGTTTAGTATGATGAAAAACAGAAAATCCCGAAGGGACCGCTAATTTGTAGATTTTGTAACACTTGTTGTATGGTCATACTTGGGTTATCTTTTGCGTTGCACGTTATCAGTGAAATTTTGTGGAGCAGCTGTTTTGAAAGTTATGCTCGTTAAGCGCAGTTGAAGTTATAAGGTGCTAATAATTGTGTGTATATAAACTTTTGAAGAGTTTGCCAGACATGTGTTCACAAATCTTAGATTTGAAACAATTTGCCAGCAAGTCTTTCTCTTGCTTTGAATAACACTTTGAATAAGATAAAAAACAAACAAGACGAATAAATAAACTGCTAGCTTGTTACTAGCAGAACGATGGGTGATTACAGAAACTTTCTGAAAATTAAATTATGTGTTGACTTATTATTGAGTGGGGGCTTTCATCCCAACATTGAGATGAGGGGGGAGGGTCTCAAAAAACTTTTTTTGGCTCCTTGGGTGTCCCTGGCCCTTTTCCTGGATTCGTCATTGGAAATATAATATAACATCAAATACCATATTAGAAAGAAATAATACTGTATGCATCATGAAACATAGAGGGAGTTAAATTAGATGAAATACAACCCGGAGTAGTCAATCGATAAACATTGGTATCGATTGATTTAAATCGTTAAAAGTGGGTAAATCTGATTTTATTGATATCGATTGCATTGATCCATCAGTAGAAATCGATGACACACTCGTTTTGTTTATCGATTTATCTTGATTCTGTACCGATTTCATCGATCTATATTGGAATACACCTGTTTATCAATAAATGAAAACTGAATTCATGCAAACATTAAATTTAATGACAACTGAGTTGCATTACTTGACAGTCGAACGATCCAACAATTATTATTTTTACAAAAATCTTATCCAGTCTTCGAAGTCATCTTCTGGTGGCTGATAATAATTGGCCAGGTTTGTAGATGCCCAGCTCTTCACGAGGTAGATCTCCCACCCTTTCAAAGTAATGTACGTCCGTGTAGTTTTGGGTGTAGCTGAGTTACATCCAGGAGAAGTCAATATAGATAATATCGGTATCGATAAAAATCGTTAGCAATCATGTCATTTTTATTGACTGATAACTGAAAACGGTGAAAAACTGTCCGAGGAAATCTTCTAGCCTGAATTTCAGACATCCCTTCGAGTCAAAGGGACGCAAGTCGAAGGGACGTCTAAAATTCAGACTAAAAGATCTTTTTTTAAGGTTGCATTTCCCTTGATATTTACATGCAAGGGCGGAATGTAATTAACCTGAGCCGTTTTTGTTCAAAATGAAGGGTTTTAGACAAGATTTTGTGTCTGTAATAGTTTCCACATTTCTTATCTTCTATATGTTTATCACTAGTTACACGTGGATATGTTTTCTTAGCTGTACTATCTAACTTATGCCAAGAAACAACCATAATGGGCTTCCGTTATCAATCGTAAAAACCACAAAAGTACATGAAAATACATGGCAGTACGTGACTGTACATAGGAATACATGGTAATACATGGTAACACATGGCAATACGTGGCTATGTTGGAAATACATAGTAATACATGGAATTACATGGCTATACATAGCAGTACATGGTAATAATGGGCAACACATGGCAGTACATGATAATGCATAGTAATACATGGCTATACATGGCAATGCATCGTAATACATGGCAATACATGGCTATACATGGCAGTACATGGCTATACACGGCAATATATGGTAATACATAGTAATACATGGCAATGCATGCTAATACATAGTTATACCTGGCAGTATATGGCAAAACATGGCAGTACATGGATAAATGGCAATACATAGCACTATGTGGTAATGCGTGGAATACATGGCAATACATGGCTATACATGGCAGTGCATGGCTATACAAGGTTGTACATGGCTATACATGGTAATACATGGCAATACATAGTAATACATGGCAGTGCATGGCAACACCTGCCAACACATGGTAGTACATGGTAATACACCGCAATACATGGCTATTCATGGCAGTACATGGTAATACATCGGAATACATGGTAATGCATAGTAATACATGGCAATACATGGGTATACATGGGTATACATCAATAAATGGCAATACATGGCAATGCATGGTAATACACTGCAATACATGGCTATACATGGCAGTACATGGTAATACATGGCAGTTACATGGCTATACATGGCAGTACATGGCTATACATGGCATTACGTGGGAATACATGGCAATACATGGCAGTACATGGCTATACATGGCTATACATGGCACCTACACACCTGCCTTTTCTCAGCTTTATAACATTAGGAGAATTAGGAAGTATCTTACAACGGACACCTCTAAGACTTTAGTACATGCCATGATTACAAGTAGAATTGATTACTGTAACAGTTTGCTATGTGGACCCCCGGACAACTCTTTAAACAAACTTCAGCGAGTTCAAAACGCAGCAGCCCGGCTTATAACTGGACCAGCAAAGTTTTCTCACATAACTCCGGTGCTCCGCTCCCTTCACTGGCTTCCCATAAAACAGAGAGTACAATTTAAAATGTTAATTTTAATTTTTAAAGCTATTAATGGCCTAGCTCCTAATTATATTAGTATTTTAAAACTAAGGTTAAGACTTTTTTGTTTCGTATGGCTTTCTGTTAATTTTATCTAATTTAGTTGCTCATTATCTTATTTTTAATATGATGTAATTTATTTTTTTTATGATGTATTTTTAGTTTTTATATGATGTATATAGTTTTCTTTTTCTTTTGTTTATAGTTTCTAGGTATCTTAGATGTAACACGCATTTGATCATATTCGAATGTTAATTTGCGCGCTATAAGCAATAAATATTATTATTATTTATTACATGGCTATACATGGCAATACGTGGCTATACATGGCAGTACATGACTATAGATGCCTATACATAGCAGTACATGGTAATACATGGTAATACATAGTAACACATGGCACTACATGGTAATGCATACTAATCCATGGCAATACATGGGTATACGAGGTAATACATGGTAATACATAGTAATACATAGCAATACATGGCACTACATGGTAATGCATACTAATCCATGGCAATACATGGGTATACATGGTAATACATGGCAATACATGGTAATACATAGTAGTACATGGCAATACATGGCAGTACAAGGCTATACATGGCTTTACAAGTCAGTACATGGTACTACATGGCAATACAAGGTTAACACATAGTAATACATGGCAATACATGGGTATACATGGCAGCACATTGCTATACATGGTAATACGTGGCAATACATGGTAGTACATAATAATACATGATAATACATAGTAATACATGGTAATACATGGCAGTACATGGGTATACATGGCAATACATGGCAGTACATGGCTATAGATGACGTTACATGGTAATACATGGCGATACATGGCTATACATGGCAATACATGGGAATACATGGCAATACATGGCAGTACATGGCTATACACGGCAATATATGGTAATACATAGTAATACATGGCAATACATGGCTATACATGCTAATAGATAGTAATACATGGCTATACACGGCAGCACATGGTAATACATGGCAATGCATGCTAATACATAGTTATACCTGGCAGTACATGGCAAAATATGGCAGTCATGGATTAATGGCAATACATGGCAGTATGTGGTAATGCGTGGAGTACATGGCAATACATGGCTATACATGGCAGTGCATGGCTATACAAGGTTGTACATGGCTATACATGGTAATACATGGCAATACATAGTAATACATGGCAGTGCATGGCAACACATGCCAATACATGGTAGTACATGGTAATACACCGCAATACATGGCTATTCATGGCAGTACATGGTAATACATGGGAATACATGGTAATGCATAGTAATACATGGCAATACATGGGTATACATGGCTATACATGCATAAATGGCAATACATGGCAATGCATGGTAATACACTGCAATACATGCTATACGTGGCAGTTCATGGTAATACATGGCAATTACATGGCTATACATGGCAGTACATGGCTATACATGGCATTACATGGGAATACATGGCAATACATGGCAGTGCATGGCTATACGTGGCTTTACATGGCTATACATGGCTATACATGGCTATACATGGCAGTACACAGCTATACATGGCTATACATGGCAATACGTGGCTATACATGGCAGTACATGATTATAGATGGCTATACATAGCAGTACATGGTAATACATGGCAATACTTGCAAATACAAGGTAATACATGGTAATACATAGTAATACATGGCACTACATGGTAATGCATACTAATCCATGGCAATACATGGGTATACGTGGTAATACATGGCAATACATGGTAATACATAGTAGTACATGGCGATACATGGCAGTACAAGGCTATACATGGCTTTACAAGGCAGTACATGGTACTACATGGCAATACATGGTTAACACATAGTAATACATGGCAATACATGGGTATACATGGCAGGACATTGCTTTACATGGTAATACATGGTAATACATAGTAATACATGGTAATACATGGCAGTACATGGGTATACATGGCAGTACATGGCTATACATGACGTTACATGGTAATACATGGCAATACATGGCTCTACATGGCAATACATGGCAATACATGGCAGTACATGGTTATACAGGGCTTTACATGGCAGTATATGGCTATACATGGCATTACATGATAATGCATGGTAATACATAGTAATACATGGCAATCCATGGCTATGTAGCAGTACATGGTAATACATGGCAATACATGATAATACATACTAATACATGGCAGTACATAGATAAATGGCAATGCATGGCAATACATGGTGATCCATGGTAGTACATGGGAATACATCGCAGTACATGGCTATATATGGCTTTAGATGGCGGTACATGGCAATACATGGCAATACATGGTTATAACATAGTAATACATGGCAATACATGGGTTTATGTGGCAGTACATTGCGCTACATGGCAATACATGGTAATACGTGGCAATACATGGCAATACATGGAAATACATGGCAGTACATGGCTATACATGCCTTTACATGGCAGTACATGTAAATTTAACCTGGTTTTCTAAGTACATAGTTTGAAGAAATTTATAATTTTATATATCATTTTAAACACTTTTGTATAGTTTTTGGCTTTTTTTTACGTTTTTTGACTGACTGGTTAACTAGCTTTATCGCTATGTGTTAGTTATATTAGTAAAGTAATGATAATAATTAAAACTTATGTAACGCAGCTTTCCATTCAATAAGTTAAAAAAAGACTAAAAATGAATAAAATTTACAAGCAGGTAGAAAGATTTAATTTTAATAAGTGATAAATAATAAAATAAACGAAACAAATACACTACTACAAATTAAAAGCTGGTTTAAAAAGATGTTTTTATATGGCACTTAAAATGTGACAGAGAGTCAAGGCTGGATTTTTCGCTTGGTAGCTTGTTCCAGAGCTTTGGGGCCGCATAACAGAATGCTCTATCACCAAGTGTTTGGAGTATCTTGCTGCTTGGAACTTCAAGCATAACTTGTTTTCTGGATCTGAGGGAATCACAAGATAGCCAAGCGAAAATTAAACGAGAAAAAATTCGTCTTGAGTGCCACGACATTTAAGCGCGCAGTAGAGGGAGATTAGTTCATTTTTTCCGCTAGTATTTCCGAATATGGTATTGCTATAATAAATTAATCCTAATAAGTAACATAGCATCTTACTTTGTTCTTTGTTCTGTTGCTTTTTATAAAGTCACCGTCAACAGATCCAAATGTTCTGTGATTCTGTTTTAACTGTTCGAAACAGAGAAATATTTTTCGAGAGGATTTTTTTAAAATTGGAAATAGCAGATGCAACATCAAATTGCTAGTGACCGGATATGTAATTAACTATCTTACCGGAGATTGCCATATGCTTAACCGTGAAGGAGGCAAATGGCCATGGGATTATAACGCCTTGGGCAAATGCCTGCTGTGAATTCCTGAACTGACTAAAAGCCTCTAATGGAGGAAAATGAAATGAGAAGGAATCATGATAAGTATAAAGCTATGGTAATGGGAAAGATGTCACCAGACCCTGTTTTCAAGTGTGAAGGCACAAGTATCCCTCTGGTAGAGGAGGTAGAGCTTCTATGTGTTATGGTCGATGATAAATTGAAGTTTGAAAGTGAAAGTAAGAAAATATGTTGCAAAGTGAGCCAGCAAATCGCTGTTCTTAAAAGTTGCTTCCTTTAAAGCTGCGGGAAAAGCTTTATGGAGCATTTAGTGCTCCACATTTTAATTGTGCCGAATTTTTGCATATTTATAGTAATGGCTTAACAGGAAAACTCAAAAAACTGAACGAGCAGGGACTGTGCTTTGTTTATCAGGACAAAATCTCTACTTATGAGACACTAGTTGTTAAAAATGGATATAGCACATTAGCAAATCGAAGACTTGCAGAAATGTTAAATACAGTGTTTGGAGCAATTAAGAATGGAAACGTACCTACAAGTATTTCCGAATTATTGACGACAGGTAATTCCAACTATAATTTACGTGGTGATGCTATTTTAAAATTACCTAAGGTAAATTCAACAAAGTATGGGATCAAGTCATGGAGATACCAGGCTGCCCGACTATAGAACACTATTCCAAATAATTTAAGAAATATTGATAGTTACCGCAGTTTTAAACGTGGACTCTAGGTGCTCGACCTTGCAAGTTTATAGTCCCCTTTGCAATGTAACTTAGTTTTTCTTAGTATTTACAGGGTAAGAAAAGTTCTGGTTTTACTTGTCCAAAGCTCAAGTCTAGTTGTCCATGGATGTAGAGTTAAATTCAAGCTCTCTGATGCATGATAATGGCTACGAAGCAGAAACCTTTCTATTTCGGAACTAAGATAACATGGAGCATTTTAAGTGTCAACAAAACACTCTTAATGCATACAAGTAATAGAATACCTATTTACGGTGTTGTTTCTAGAGTCTTTATATAAGGTACTACTCTGAATCACTGTCAGAGCTGCTGTCTATTTGAGGTAACTCAGGCAAGGGAGGAAGAGCTTGGAAGGGCTCACTAACGGATGGACCAGCTGTGGGTACAACCACTGGTGCATCATGAACTCTTTTCATTGCATGCCTCTTTGTCTTAGCACCAAGAAGTCACGCTTCAATTGCTGGGCTAGGGTCAAAGTCTTTCATTTCACAGTCCATTCCCTTGATCCTAAGCAGATCTGACAAGGTTCTCTGCTCCATTCGAGTCTTCAAATTTGTTTTTATCCTGTTCATAGCCGAAAAGCACCTCTCGCATTTGGCAGTGGAAGGGGAGAGGCTTAGCATCAGTTCAACTATGACAAGAATATGCTTCAGGCTATCTGGCCTAGACGATAATAAGGTGGCATAGATATCAAGGGGTTTCATTGCTTGGTGATTGAAGAGGTAAATCTTCAACTCCTGCCACTGAAAAACAGCAACTTCCTTTTCACCATCAGACAACAAGTTTTTAAAGTGATCAGTTAATGCAGCTACTTTGTCATTGCCAAAATTGGCTCTCAGCTTTCTCTCCCCTGGCACTTTGGTAGGATCAAATACTTCAAAGTAATTCATTGGGGGCTTAGACAGGCTGGAAAATCTCTTCTCAATGTAGGCAATCGCATCAGTTAGAAAGTTAGAAAATGTTTGTTGCATCCCCATCGCATTTCCTTTGTTCAGTACAACATCAAGATTACTGTCCTTTCCACATTTGAAGAGGCCACTCTCAAAATTATAGTTTGACTGGAACTTGGCTTGGAAAGTTGCTGTTATGGGCAATGGATCAGAATCCTTGAGGCCTTCCAGTTTTGTTAGAGCTGTCTCCAACTTGGTGCTGACTTCAGTAATGAACAGATCATCACTTTGAAACTGTAGACTTAATTCTCTCAGAACTTTGGTAACATCAAGGAGAAAGTACAAAAATGTCACAAACTTTTCGGTCTTGATTGCTTTCACCATGCCTCTAGCTTTTGCTGCATCCTCACCAGTCCCTGTAGCCACATGTTCAAGGTGCTTTACCAACCCTCAAAGTTAAATTTTTCTTTTGGTGGCCATTTGGCGACCAACTCTTTAGGTTTAGTCGCCAAAGGAAATTTGTAGGCACCAAAATATATGTTAATAATAAAGTTTTAATAATTGGTTAATAATTTATTTGGGCTTAAAAATGGTATTGTTTAGCCAAGACAATGTTTTACCGTATTCACAAGTGTATAGGGTAACTTATAATCCATGTCGAGTAACACTGCTTTTATTTGCTTCTAAACAGAGAAGATATCTTGCAAAATACTGCCTTTGTGACCGAGTTCATTGAGGCCATGAGCAAAATTCCAGCATAAAAATTGTCCTGAAATTAGTGAACTGCATCTAATGTATCGAAAATGGCAACGGATTTTCGACAATATTTACCACGTCAAATGACCGTGTAAAAGAAATCTAATCTCAGAAATCTAACATAAACCAAACTTATTCTTCTATTAAAACTTCCAAATCGGTTTCACTGGCAATTACAATTCATTGAAAATTCCAAAAAATTATCCCGCGAAAAAAAGTAAAACAGCTCTTAAGCTGTAGTCTTATTAAATTAAACTCATAATTACAGTAAGAAAACATGTTCTCATTGTGAGTACTCAGTAAGTAGCTGCTCTATTTGAAACTTCAATTATACAGACTTTGAAATGGCCAATTATATCAATGACTAAAAGAAAGGCTCTCTTCACTAAACAGTGTCTTTCACTCACATAAACAGCAATCTTCATGATTTAAGGGTGGGGATGGGGAAGACAGTGGATGTCAATGAGGTGGTGGACTTCACGTTTGAGTAATGATGCAACACCTCGTCGCTTTCCCAGATTCACTGACGCGCCATCTGCACCAAACCCTATTGTGCTCTTTTTCCACTCCTTCACTCCAAGGTCCGAAAAGCAGTTGTCAACAACTTGAAGAAGACCTGCGAAAATTAAACAAAAAGTGTCAAAAGTTTTATCGTTAATACACCGGTAAGCTTTTAAACATCAATCACAAAAAAAGAATGTGAAACTAAGCAGTATCACAAAAATGGTTGCCAGGAATTTAGCAGAGACTTTAATAGTTCTGATTTTTTTGTCCAAGAATATTAATTATGTCGAAGAAAAATGTTGACAACTCGATAGCTTCTTTTTTGTTAGGTCACTAATAAATGTGCAGTGTAGGTTAAAGCTTACCATCAGCGTGGGCATGCTCTACAGGTTTGTGTCCTACCATGCGATTGACTGGTCGGCCATCAGTACCCAAACACCTCGCATACACAGTTTTGTTTTCGGTGCTGGAGGCATCTGTGGCTCCATCGATCATGACTGAAATGTAACGCACTTCATTTCGAAGGTTTTCAGCAATTTCCTCTTTTATCAGTGTGCCCACTGTTGCAACCATTTCTGCACACTTTATGTCATTTGAATAGGTGTTGGTTCTTTGAATCCTGTTCTTCTGCTAAAGCTGAAGAAGGCCCGGGAACTTAGTGAAAGGAAGTTCTTCTTTTGCAATGAAGTATGCAGTATTCATTTTCACTGACATTTCTTTGTAGGCCTGCTCATCTATCTTCTCAGCTGCCTTCTTAAGCCCTTTGAATATTGGTCTTTTTGTGAGTGGTTTCTGTTCGTTGATCACAAAATCCTGTGCGCGTAGATGGCCATGGCTCTCACCGTGCTTTTTGAGTGTCTCCTTTTTTATTGTCTTTGAGCCAGTGACAAATTCAGTTTTACCAGCAATTTTTGAGCCAGCTTTGCAAAACAAATCGCAGAACATTGTGTTCGCCCCAGGGTCATAGATCACCCATGGAAACTCGTTTTTCCAAGAATCTTGAAACTTTCTGGTTACAGAAGAGGCCTTGGGTACTTTCGCACAGCAGCTACTCTCGTTGGAGTTTACGACAGCTTCGGTAGCGGTTCTCTTGGTGGCACTTGCTTTGGATGTGGGTTTAAAGAAAGATGAAATGGCTCTTGACTTTCCTACCAGTGGGGTCCTGTCTTTTTGGGTTGGTAGTGCGCGGCTCATTAAGGTTGGAGGCCTTGGGGCACTTTGGCACTGGATGACGGGGACAAAGTGGTTGGGTTGGAACACTGCACCTGGCCGGTTGTCAAAATTGCCATCTCTTGTCCACAACAGCCGGAACACTGTGGACCCACTTTCATCTTTTCCTTCTACCATGCCACGGGGTTTAATAACGCCGCTCATAAGTGGATGAATGCGAGAGGTATTTTTGAACTTCGGGTACTGTGACATCAAAGGCTGGTTAAGTACAGTAGCTAATGCCATCATATTTAATAAAGTGCCATATTTCTTCTCTTTGCAAGTGATAATGGCCTGAGCTTGAACTGCATCTACTCGGGACGCTTGCCTTTCAAATTGTTTTTGAGCACTATCACTTAACAACAGTGTAAAAATAGTTGTATCGGAAAACCCGGAGCTTCTACCATCGGCGAGTTTTGGGTGCTCTGCATAATAGTCAGGGTTAAGATACAGTTCCACTGGGTCAACAGTCTGAGAATAAGATTCGCAGATTGATCTCCTTCAATCAACACCGAGGCGGAATTGTATAGGCAATTTCCATCACCAGTTGTTTGTAACGCCTTCAGTCCTTTTTCTTCACTTGGGATTAAAGCAGAACTCAACTGGTCTTCCGCTAACGCGTTTAGTAGTTCCACGTCGCAACTCGAAAATTGATCAATTTTACTCTCATATTTTTTTCTCATCTCTTCGGCAAGATGTCTGGATGACAGATCTCCCACCTTCAAGTTTTTTTGAAGAGTCAACAGATCGTCTGTAATTTCGCTGGACATCGTTAAAGCCTGACAACTTTGAAACGAAAAGGATTGCAAAGACAAGGAACACACAGTGAGGATTAGCTAGGAAAACGGCCGACAGGAGTGTAACATGTTTGAAATCGTGCACGTGAAAATTAATTGCGTAAGTACTGTGACAGTGTCTCATATTTTCCCGTAAACATTCTTTTTAACACTGGCGAAAAGTACTAGGACGTACAAGACTAACAAAATGTTGAGCTAAAACTAGTTTAAAGCTAGTCTTCTTTCAGTATTTTACTAATGAAATCGCACATTGAGAATTTCTTTACATCTGTCCTATGAAACAAAAATTGCCTCAACGACGCAGCCGGAAAAGACGGCGTGATCTATAAATCAACCTTATAGTTTTCTATCAGCCAAAAAAACCCAAACAAAAATACCGCTTGGGAGATTGCAATAAATACCTTTTGCTTTACTTTTGGTTAAGACGTTTAAGAAAATTGTTTTTCGTGAAGTTTAGTTTCTTCTGATGATGATGTTGTGTTGGTCTGCAAATGGTCGCTTTTTATTCTATATATAAAAAACGATTCAACATTTCATGTTTCTCAAATTTATCTTAAAATGTTCCATGCCGACTTAATCTTTCTGCTTTTCCATTTATTTTAACCTCCAAAATAGATATTTATTTGCGTTGTAGTCTTCCCAGTCTAGCCGCACACGCGGTTTCCGAGAGAAAATTATGAAAAACAAATCGATTGCGTGCTGCTTGTCACGCGTTACAAGGTTAAAAATATGTCACGTGCTAGGCAACGGACCTGTGCTCATTGGAGCAGAACAATATTTTAGTAGAAATCTTAGCGAAGTAAACGTTTGTTTGAATGAATATCGACGAGATCTTCTAATTTCCCCCCTCTGGGATATCAGCAGAGGACCTTAATCATTTCAGTACAATTCAGACAATTGATCATCTTTTTCGTTTCTTCAGTTTTCGTCTGGTCGCCAACTTGGCGACTATTTTCCGAATCAAGTCGCCAGTACCAAAACTTTAATCGCCATGGCGCCTAAAGTGGTCGCAGCTTTGAGGGTTGTTTACAGTGATAGCAAAGTTTTTCTGTAATGCCAACAAAGCTCTGTGTCTACTGGCAACCCATCTGGTTTTCTGAGAGCCACTGCTGTAGTAGACAGCCTGTTCCTCAAAGATGTCAGCAAAACCATGAAGTTCCCTCCTTTTTTTCGGAGAGTAATAGTAAAATCGAAAGATCTGGGACACACTGTTCATAAAAGATTGAAGATAAGGGACACTTTTAATGGCATCTCCAACTCCAAGTTCTAAATTATGTGCAACACAATGAATGATGACAATGTTTTGATTGACTCTCTCATTTAGTTGAGTTGCAACTCCCGTTTTTGAGCCAAGCATCACTGATGCACCATCGAAATTGCATCCTACCAGTTTTTGTTCGAGAGTTGTCTTCGTTATGCCAATCCCAAGAAGACTCTGATCGATTGCATGTAAAATTCCATCTGCATAAGCATATTCCAAGGCAACAATATCCACAAAATGACAAACTGACCGACCTTTCTTGTTAACATATCTGATATACACAGCTTCTTGCTCTACTATACCAGAATCAATAGATCCATCTGATAATATTGACATAAATCTACTATCGCTCACCACGGACTGAATTTTGCCTTTCTCTACCTGGGCTATGTAGCTAATAAATGTTTTGCATCCTTTATCATTCTTGTACTGCTCCCCAAATTGCACACCATTCTTCTTCTGTAACTCACAAAGACCTGCAAATTTTCTGAAGGCGTGTTCTTCATGTGCTACAAAAAAGGCTGTGTTGAACAGGCACTGAAGTGCAGAACGACACTTTTCACTTAGTTGAACCACACTTTCTTTGAACAACTGCCTTAATTGGTTCCACGTACTGAGGATTTGAATCTTTCTCAAATTGTAGTGAGCAACGATAATGTTCCTTTGACTCGTTATGATGAACAAGGGAATCTATGCGATACTTTCCACCCGATCCACAGCCAATGTACAAAGAACTTTGTAGATTTGCAAAAGCAGGATACCTTCTACATGTGGAACAATACATCACATCTTGGTTCGCATCGTGTACTACCCACGGGAAGGTCTCTTTCCAGGATTCCTGAAACTTTCCAATTCGAGCTGTCGGGTTGTCACGTTGCTTTTTCTTCTCATTCACCACGGTGCTTTCTGTAGAAGGTTTTGCCTTTCTCTTTAGCTGCTTTACCCGTGCACCAAAATAGCTTTTGATGCTTCGTTGATCAGCCATTATTCATGTGCTGATAGTGACTTAGAGGGTCTATTAATAAATGAGCAAATCAATACCCCCAAATGAGTCCCAGGTTCTTTTCGGTACTCATTGAAATAAAATGGCGGATAAATCGTAAGTGGTCGACTCATTTCGTTTCTTACTTGTAAGTTACTTTTGCGAAGAGCGATCTGTTTTACACTTTCGAAAACTTAAATGTATACTAATTTCTCCGCTGAAAAAGTTTAAAACACCTTGTTTTTTTTAAAAATTATTTTCTGAGATTCATTCACTTGTCCAAAGGACAAGTAAGATTGACAACCCACTTGTCCACTGGCCAAAACCACTTGTCTGGGGCAAGTGGACACTGTCTTTGTCGCACCCTGATTTAAGTATTATATAGTTTTTATAATCTTATTGCAGTTTCCATGTACTATGTCATTTTAAACACTTTTATATACATGTAAGTTTATTGACCCTTGTTTGCAATTTAACCTGGTTTTCTTAGTACATAGTTTAACGTTATTATAACTTTATATATCATTTTAAACTTTTAGATAGTTTTTAGGCTTGTTTTTTAGTTTTGTGACTGACCTGTAAACTAGCTTTATAGCTAAGTGTTAGTCACGTTAATAAAATATAATAATAATAATAATAATAATAATAATAATTCAAACTTATATAGCGCAACTTTCCATGGGATATGATCAAATGCGCTTTACAATAAGTTAGAAAGAAACGCTAAAATGAATAAAATTTACAAGCAGGTAGAAAGATTTAAAAATGAAATAAAATAACAATAAGTGATAAATAATAAAATAAACGAAACAAATACACTACTGCAAATTAAAAGCTTGTTTAAAAAGATATGTTTTCACATGGCATTTAAAATTTGACAGAGAATCAAGGCTGGATATATCGCTAGGTAGGTTGTTCCAGAGCTTTGGGGCCACATAACAGAATGCTCTACCACCAAGTGTTGGGAGTATCTTGCCGCTTGGAACCTCAAGCATGACTTTTGTGCTGGATCTGAGGGAATATCCAGTTGATTTCCTGTGGCTGATCAATGTGCTAATATAATCTGGCGCCATGCTGTGAATCGCTTTAAAAGTCATCAGTAAAATCTTAAACTAAATGCGATACTTGATGGGAGGCCAGTGAAGCTGAGATAAGACTGGTGTTATATGGCAAAACTTAGGTTGCTCAAAAATAAGCCTTACAGCTGCATTTTGAACTCTTTGTATCTTATCTATTTGTAACTGTGGCAATCCATAGAGTAAACTGTTACGGTAATCTAATCGGTTGGAGACAAACGCGTGAATCAATGTCTCTGACGAGTCCTGCGACTGGTGTATTCTTATCCGCCTAATGTTGTGGAGATAGTAAAATGATGCATTACAAACTTTGTTCATGTGGGAGTTCATTGTCAGCTTGTCATCAATGTACGAGCCAAGGTTCCTAACAACTGACGATTTCATTACTGCAGAGTTTCCCATGGTGATCGAAGAAATATTAACTTTAGATAACTGTTGCTGGGTGCCAATGACGAGAAAGACCGTCTTTTCGTTATTGAGAAGGAGTTTGTCGTGTTCCATCCATGAGCGAATGTCGTCAGTGCAATTTTGCATGGCAGTTATAGCATTTTGTTGACTTGATAAGTCATCGAGCTTGAAGGAGAAATATATTTGTGAATCATCCGCATAACAGTAGGAATTTGGAAGGTGACGTTCAGTGATGTTAAACAGCTTTGAAGAGTAGATGATATGCAACAGGGGACCGAGACAGGACCCTTGTGGAACGCCCCAGTTAAGAGGAAGACTGTCAGAGAGGGCGGCAGTAATTGAAACACGTTGACTTCTTGCTGACAAGTACGACTTTAACCAATCTAATGGTGCTACAGAAATTCCAAATGAAGTTTGAAGTCTATGCAACAAAACACTATGATCAACAGTGTCAAAGGCAGTGCTCAAGTCAAGTAACAGAAGTAGAACAGCATGCTGAGAATTCATTTCCATCAGAATGTCGTTAGTAACTTCCAAAAGTGCTGGTTCTGTACTATAGTTCTTTCTGAAGGCAGATTGTAGTGATGGGTAAAGATCATGTTTCTTCATGTGATTGTCAATTTGAAGAAATGCAGCTCTCTCGGTTACTTTTGAGATGAAGAAAAGATTGCTTTCAGGCCCATAATTCTTAAAAACAGTGTCAAGACCATTCTTCTTAAGAATCGGTCGAACCAAAGCCTCTTTCCATGCTGAGGGGAAATGGCCACTTTCAAGTGAAATATTAACCATTTTAGTTAAGACCGGTAAGAGGACATCAATGCACTTGATCAGCAGGGGTGTAGGTGTGGGATCGAGAGCACACGATTTCTTGGCCAAATTCACGATAATGCTGTAAGTTTCATCTTATGTCACTGCTTTAAAGCTACCAAATGGCAGAGAATGTAGTTCCATGATGGGGGCACAATCTTGACAATCCTGAATTGTACACTCATGGAATTTAGATCTTATATTACTAATCTTTTCAACGAAGAAATTAGCCATCTCATTTGCTAATATCGATTTACTTACGTGCAGAGGAAATGGAACTGCCAAGCTTTGATTTGACAAGTGCTTCGAGATCTTAAGGAGCTTTCCTTGATCCGAACTATTTTCTTGAATGAGGTTCTCATAGAAGTCAGAACGTGCTTTTTTAATCAAATTAGTAGCGAAGTTTCTTGCAGATTTGTATATTTTTAGGTCGTGTGTAGAATTTGATAAGCGCCATTTTTTTTCTGCTTTCCTTCTCATCCTAATTGCAGCTAAAACCTGATCGCTGTACCAGTGTACGTGTTACCTTTGGTGAAGGATTTTTCTTTGAAGTGGAGCGTGTTTGTCAAGAACATGTGTCAATGTTGTATTGTAACATTCAAGCTCATTAAACTCCTTGTGAGATTCTCGGCACAGTTCAGAAACTGCAAGATCACTTTGGAAAGTGTTCAGATCAATTGATTTTATTTTCCTGTAAACCCGTTCCTTTGATGTGATTGCCGGTTTATTTGCTCTTAACGTTGTCAACACAGTTAATTTATATGACACAAATGATCCATGGTAGGCGAGCTGTAAATGATGGAATGTGATCGACGTGTAATAATTAAGTCAATTGTGTGCTCGAGTTCATGTGTTGATTGGGTAACACGCTCACAAAGACCCAATGAATATAAGAGATCTAACAGTTTTGTTTGAACTCGCCGGTAATAACTAACGGTTCAGATGAGGGGGTTTCGAAATAGTCTGCAAAGTCAGTGAAAAAAGTGCTTATGGTGACATGGTGTGCAGGACGGCAACGCAAACTTTAAAGGTGCCAGATGAAACAATATGTATGTACGTATGTATGTATGTAGGACTGTTTCATGGCCTACATTGTCATCGGGAGAGGGTTCTAGGAGTCATCCAACCAAATGACAGTTTCCTGGACGGTTTTCCCTGTCAACACAGTGAATGCTATGAGTACTTCCTCTGTTGTTCACACCCCACTGCACAACCTTAACTTCAGAAAAATCATATTCACCAAGAAGGCGCTTCAAAAAAGATTGAATAGCCCATTTCACCTTCAAAACGCAGCCAAAGTTGCCTGCTGTTAATCTGTCCCCTCTGGTTAAATGCCAAGTTAGGTTGTTTCTCTGTCCACTTGTCACTTATTTTTATAATGTACTCATCTGAAATCTTTTCCTGTCTTACTAAGCAGTCAATTTGTTGCTGCGATCCTTGTGTTTGGAGAATTTCCTCCGAGTAAATGACAGTAGCTAGTTCAGGGCTCATAAGCCAAAAAAGGCCAGTAAACCTTCCATAATGGAGGAAATCCAAAAGAAATCTAAAATCAGTAAATTTAAAAGCAAAACTGGCAAGCAGTAGAAACTGCTACTCAAAGAATTCGACACCATGTTGTACAAGCCATCAGCACATTGTGTTGCTTTCTTTACCACCAAAGAATGAATCCTGTATTGGGTAAAGGCTGTTCATGATCAATACTTTGAACCGCTCAGTGAAAACAACCACTACCATGTGTCATGAATCGACCGCTACAGCAATGATGAAACAGCTTTTGAACATATTGAGCTTAAAGAAGGTCATGTCAATGTCGGTTTACCTAACTACAGGAGTAATGATGTGCCAGGGCACTGCCTTTATGATATGGAGTGACAGGGAATTCTCTATGCTAAAAGAACATGAGATGGGATACCCTTGAGCAAAGATGCTCTAAACAGCTCGCAATAAGTGTTTTTAAATCTCTAAATAACCTTTACCCTGAGAGTTAAAAGAACATGTTTAAACCAACCTCTGGGGTTCATTCCTACAACGTGCGAGGTGCCTCGAACAACATTTTTGTACCA